GATGGGTCTAGATGTACAGGAATTGCCCTCTTGCCGAGCTTAAGGAACCAATTATTGCAACAGAAAGCCACCCTGTAATCATGTCGTCTTTCCTCCTGCCTTGTTCCAACCAAATGCTGACATAAAACTGTGAATTATATTCAAATACCTCATGGGCAAAGCTACCTACATGCACATTGAAGGTGCCTATCGTGCACAGGAAGAGATACTAGGATGAATTAAATCCATTAATTGGTTATTATTATTGAGACAAAGATGTATAGTTCTTTGAAATGTCAGATTGTCTAAATTACGGTAGTCTTGAAAGAAGTATTATTTCAGTAGATTCTGTGTACTATTTTCTTGTAATGAAGAAGCTAGAGAAACACACTGACTTCAGAATCATAAAAGAACAACAGAAGTGGTTTTACTTTGCTAGAAGTCAATGTACTTCATCAGAAAATACAGTGCAAATGATGGCTTGCATGCATAGGTCATTTTCATAAGGTATCAGCACTGTCATAAACACAATAAATTACAGTAAAAAGTGGACCAAACTTGGAATATCTGAACAAATTAAATGCCAACATCTCAATTATTCATCTTGGCTTCTGCATGTCAAAACAGTCGCATTCTGATCGTGCAGGTTATAATTAGGCTGAGTCCTGGCTCTGTAAAAGCAGAATGTGTATCTTGAAATCTCTACCCACGTATGTTTAGGAAGCCAGAAGAAAGGGCAATGGTAATGCATAAGAGGAGAATACAGCAGGTGGCTAAGCAGCACAGAAAACCTATTTTTAAACTAAGAGGCAGAGAGTAGGTAAGTTCTAGATCACTGGTACTTTTCTTAGCCTAAGCAAGTCTTGTTAAATAAGACAGTTAAAACTACTTCTTACAGACGAAGCATTACTTCCCGCCCCCTCCTGGAAGTGCTCTGTTTGGCTTAGAAGTGCTGGGGAGATCAGCTAGCAGTTCTGTGGTGGGGATGCACAGAAAAGCTTCATCCTTATTGAATCCCCACAAATTCCTGTGCCAGCCAAATCTTGTGGAGTGAACCACTTGCCATTTCAGTGAAGGATGGTGGCAGCACCCACCAAATGGAGGAGTTAAAAATCGGCTTGTAGCCCTTGCATGGAAATGATTGCAGAGGAGGGAACAAAGCCGTAACTATTGGATCATGAGCCCAATCTTCAAAATAAAATTATACCATTCAAGAACAAAACTTGCAAATTACACACTTTAAAATAAACATTTTAAGAAAAGCTGTGTGAAAGGATGTCAGTGTTGTTATAGCAAACCCTACCACCTGAGTATTGTGACTGTCAGCCTTTATTGCATGCATTAAATATGCAATGCTGTATAGGAAATACACGATAAAATTCTTTATAAATTGCAGCTTGCTCAGCTGAGAGCTTGGTTCCTGGGAAAACAACAGCCAGTTTGTACAGAATAACAATAAAACCAGCATTACTCCCAGCATTACTCCCTTTTGTTGCATTGTTTTCTCTCAAGACCCTAAGACAGAAACAATATCTATTCACTTCTCCATGGTTTTTATTTCTTCTGTATGTAATGAAATGTCCCTGCAAGAAAGAATAAATGAATAATCTGCTCCTATCCATGTGCCAATTTCTGCACTTTTCAGCTAGGCAAAACTCCTGATGATTTTTGCCTGTTTAAAGGTTCTTTTAAAAAGGTTGTGACAGTATCTTTCCTATGTATTACATGTATACCTGTATAAACTGTATGGGTAATGCTTCTTACTCAGTATCCTCTTGCCATCCACTTCTACTGATGTTTACATCAAACTTATTCCTACTTGGCTTTTTGCATCAGTGGCTTGATTGGGACACGGTGGGTAAGCCGCTCTTCCCTACCGAGGCTGTATTACATTGGTTAGCCATGAAACCAGTAGCTCTCTGTGGGCCCAGCTGATACAGTGACTCACAGGCGCTCCCAAAGAAGACGTGTAGGACTTGGCACTTCACACCATTTCCAGCAGAACAGATCAGACTGCTCCAATCTGCACTGAAGGGCCCGCCTGACACCGAGCCAGCCAGTTTGTGGGACCAAAAAAAGAAGCCAAGACAATCTGTCTGCCTTCAAGTGTTTGTCTCCAGCCTGGATCACTCCACAAGCCCCTCAGGAATCCCTGGGGAAAAAAACATTTAGATGGCTGAAGCTTAGGCATTCCCCCCCTTTTTATGTGAAAAATCTCTAAAAATGGTATCTTGTTATGAATGAGACCTGCTGCTTATTTGTATTCAGTCACATATGCTTGTTTTACCTGGTAAATTGTATTTTTTCCTGTATTTTATTTTAGTGACTTGGTGGAGTCTAGTCTAGCTTCTCAAAACAAAACCTCTAGTATAGACCATGATGTGCATGTCAGAAAAAAGGGCTTGGCCTCGGCATCCATGCCTCATTTGCAAGATTTCACATTAGAAAATTCCATCTTTTTAGTTGAGTGAAATTAGCCTTAAACATTTGAATGTAGTAAACAAAAATCTGTTGTACTCTGTTACAACCACAGGATGAGGGAGGAAAATATGATGAACACTGAAGAAACACAGAAGACAAGTGAGCTACGATGTTTAATTTCAGGCATGTAAAATTATGGACTGCTATCCTTACTGAAGCAAAGCTCAAGATTAAAGTTGATATAGTGTTCTGTCTTCTCTATCACATACTGTACTATGGGAAACACCCAAAAGGTGGCAGGTCTCAGTAGAAAGAGTAACTACATCATGTTAAGTGCATGAAACTGGTTACTTGTGAGAAGCACTGTAGGAAAAGGAAATTGATTTTGTGTGGGTTATAACAAAAATCCACAGCTCTCTGCTCAGATTTTGCCACAGCAATAGTTCTATCTAAGCCTTCTCATAAAAATTCGACATGTATTACACCACTTGCAATCTGGCCTCATATTAAAATGACAAGATACACTGATAGAAAAATATTATTTTAATTGCTAGCATATGTTCCTGGAAATTCATGTAGTTATTTTTAAGCATTAAAGCATACTCAGTCATTTATCTTAATTTTTACTTTGTAGCACCACTGCCTTCTATCCTAGACTCAGTTAGAGGCATAGGGGGATAATTAAGGACCACAAAAGCCATTGACAGTATCTTAAGTAGCAACATTGATACCACATTCTCTACCCTTTAGACAATAGTAACACATCTTGAACTTTAGTTCAAGTTACCCTTATAGTTATGGATGATGTGCTGTACTCCTGACATAACAGTATATCCATATACAAACTGCAAGTTCTGGCAGATTTTTAAGCATCAAAGTTTCAGAAGATCAGTTTGATGGCCTGCCATGAACCATGAAGCAGGTCGTTCAGATGTTACAGAAATTCCCTGGGACCTTCCTTCTGAACTACAAAGCTCCAAGTCTTTGACTACACTGACAAGTACCAAGGCCTAAGAGAATATGTCTGTAGAGTGGAAGAGTGGGTGCTGAGGGCCTGATTTTCAAGCTATATATATTTCAGGGATTCCTATGTTTGACTAGTTCCGTTTGAGTTAAACTAAGCAGTCATTTGTGGCTGGAATGCATTAGGTACACTCCTGGAGTACCTCTGCCAGTTTAGCTTCATCCAAAAGGGATCCAGTTCATGCACTCCAACACCACTGCATGCTGTGAATCAAAGCACTGCAAGTAGAGATGATGATGGCATTTACTTCAAAAGTGCATCCCTGGTTCAAACTAAAACACTTAAGTGCCCCAAGGCTCATGAAGCAGTTTGTGTGGAACAACAAACCAAAATGAGAAGCCTGGTGTTTATATACTGCAGCGCCTTAAATTCTATTATCTGTCAGTGCAGATTTTTTTAAAGTTCAAATACATAAAAAATGAAGTATAGTTTTGGTTAGTGTTAGATTAGCAATGCTGGACCATTGCAGATTCCTATGGCATGTTATGTCCAGTGGGCTTCATAACATTTTTCTAATTTAAATAACCATTGAAGCATACCAAGAAAACGGGAGCCAAGTTCAAGCATCCACAACTTGCAGAACTGCATTTTGCCTTTGTGCATCTGAGAGCTGGTGTTTGCCTGGAAGTGGCAGCTGAAAGTGGCTTTAGTTTTAAATTCCACTTTATTTAATTTTGTTTAACTAAATTTTAGTTAATTTTACACTGATTTTTGTGAGCAAAGCTGATAAGTGCAAGCCATACAGGTGGCAGCAACAGAATTTGAAAGCTGAAATTAGGGTTTCATACAGGTTGGAGAAACGCTTCAGTGCTGGAGTCATTTTCACCACTTCAGGCGCTGATCTGAGGGAAAAAAAGGAGATACTGATTTTTAACATCCCTGCTGCCCTTCCCTCCATCCAGCTCCAGGACCAACAGCAGCTCCTGCAGCCCTTTTCCACCCCCTGACCTCCCGGTTCCGCTCGCGGTAACTAACGGCTCTGCGTGCCGGGGGCGTGGGTCAGTTTCCATGCCAAATATAAAGGATAAAAGAGGAAAAAGCGCCCATCCGTGAGGCCAATCCCTCCCCACCCGACAAGACACCTGCCCCACTCCCTGCCCAGGAGGGAGGGCCACGTTCTTCACGGCCCTGACCCACTGCCAGCGACTGACCCCCGCACCCCCACCAGCCCGCAGCGGAGGCACCACCCATGGCTCCTGCAGCCCCTCCTCCAGCCGGCTCCAACCACGGCTGCCACCTGCACCCTGGCAGGACCCCCATGCCCCACCACAGACACCGCCCCACACCCGTTCCCCAGCAGCTAGGATCCAACCGACCCTGCCGCGAGGGCGGGCCGTACTCAAGCTAGGGGCGGTGCCAGGGAGGGAGGAGGAGGGGAAGGATTATGGTTAGCGCCTATTGGTCTATAGGGAGCAGGGGCGTAGCCTTGGCACCCCGAGCTCTCCTAGTATTGGTGAAAGGAAGTGTCAGTGCGGGCTTGGAGGCGGGCTTGGGCGGTTGGTGGTGTCGGTTGAGCGCTGCACTAGGGTGGGATTGCGGCGGGCGGGGGAGCGGGGTGAGGGGGTGGCGGCGAGCCGGCGAGTGAGCGGTCGGGCGCCGCCGGGTATAACGAGAGCGGCGGCAGCGCCGGAACGGAGGTAGGGGAGCTGCGCCGCGCGTGCAACGGAAGGCCACCCCCTGCCCTCCGCCGCCCTCACCTGTCACCTCCCGGGCTCCTGCTGCTGCGGCGAGGCAGCCCTGCGCCTCGCCCCCTTCCCTCAACTCGGTTCCTCCACCCCCACAGCACTGGCCAGCCGCGCACCGCTCAGCACCGCACCGCCGTTGGGCGGCCGCGGCCCGCCCGTTTCCCCCCACCCACCTCATCCCGTCGGGGGCCGTTTCCTGGCCCTGCCGCGGGGCCGGCGGGTGTCTCCGCCGGCGGGTAGAGCTGCTGGGCGCCGCGCCCCGCAGCCCAGGTGCGCCCGTCCAGCATGGGGTGAGGTGGCAATGTCCTCCCGCCCCCCCCTCGGGACTGGGCAGAGCCCGCGGGAGCGGCTGTCTCAGTCCCCCTGGTCCGGGATTCACTGAGGTCCCCCCCGGGAGGTGGGGAGGGAGGCGGCCGCCTGTGGGATTCCGCCCGTATACCGTGTCTTGCGCTGGCTCTCCCCTCTTCCTCCCTAATGCCGTCCTCCCTCTGGTTGGAAGGGCTCATGGCTTCTTCTATAAAAGATACTCCTTAGATTGTAATGATTTGGTGGAGGGAGTGTTTCTCTGAATTATTTGCGTGTGTTATTTAATCGGCTGCGCTATTGCTGGGCTTGTGCATTTTCTGTGCCAGTTAGGAGAAAATACACTAGTTGTTATCAGGTAGGTAGGTGGTGATGGAGAGCATCAGAGGGGCCAACACCCAGGAGAGAGAAGGCAGTTCCTCAATTGGAGCCGCTAGGAAAGAAAAGGAATGCCGGGATTCCCAATGCTGGGCTATTCCTTGATTCTGCTCTCGGGTTTCATCTTTTGTGTTGGTCGGTGAGCAGGGAAAAGTCGGTTGCTATCCCTGGACTAGAGCGCAGAGCACATGGAAAGGAAAAGGATTTTTCTTTAAGCAGGGTTTAGCTGTGAGTTTGTAGCAATGCTTCTTCCTGGGCTGGAGGAGCAAGAAGCTCTGTTCCTATTCCATTCTCTTTAGTGTGTGTGAGGGCTCTGCGTGCTGTTGCTATTGCTGAACTACTCCAGCCTCGCTCTCGGAGATCCTCCTTCTGTCTGCATCGTGTACTGCCTGCCATTGCTGCGGCAGGTAGCTGTCTGAAACAGCAACAGTGTGAAACTGCCATAGTGAAATTAGTAATGATCATGCAAATTCCTGTGTGCTGTGCCTTGGCTGTGGGAAGCTATTGCCTGACTGACTTGGTAGACTTGTCAAGGTGGTAATACATTAGTTGCAGTCATATCTGGAAGAGTTCTTACTTATTGCAGATACATATTTATTTAGCAAAGCTTCAGAATGTCTCAAATAGGCTGCAAGAGAGTATAAGACAGAAGAGGGCTAGGAAAATCCATTGGCATACTGATAGATGCAGGTCATGAATGGCCTTCAGGTTCTGCAATATTGAAGGAGAGGAGTTTTAAATCGTCCTGTTAGTTTCTTTTTGTTGTCATTATGCCTTATTTTTTTTCCAGAAAGGTGTTGCGCACTGCCAGCTTCCAGTGTAATGAATGATCGGGTTATATACTGCCAGCTGATAATGGTTTCTTGGCTAGGGCAACCCACAATTCCTACTTCATTTTACTATCTATGAGAACATAAATTTTACCTATGAGAACACTATTTTTTTTTTTTCCCCTGGATCTCAGTGTAAGGATATCAAATCTAATATTTCAAATAGTCTGTTGCATTTACTGAAAGCAACATAATCTTTTTAGATTTTTCTTGTCGCTGTGTGTGCTGACTTAATAGCAAAAGAGATCTGCAGCTGAAAAAAAAAAAAACATGAAAGCTTTTTATAAGATATACCTGCCTGTATTAGAAACATGAGGCACCAATAGTTGGATTGAATAATAGAAGTATTGGCTTTTTCTATCGTACAGTCTTAAGAACTACCTCTAGTTGTGTGGGTGTTTGAGATTTCTCTCATTTTTGCTCATTTGGCAATAGGAAGGAAAATCTTCCCCCTTTGTACTTTTGGCACAATATTCTGCAAGGAGAGAGCTCTCTGCCTAAAGAAGCTTCCACATTGAATCGCTCTCAGGAGTATGGTCTTGCTGGTCAGTATTTAACTAAAACTGCAATATTTAGGAATTTAAATCAAAATTGCATCAAGAGCTTTGTTGCCTTGTTTTAGGGTTAGATTTTTCTGCCATGCAGAAAACCAGGATGATATATTACTGTGGGGTCAAAGACCATAGTTGATAAGAAATGGGAGAATTCTAAAGCTGTAACAACTGAGTGCTGCAAGGAGCAAGTACTATACCATATTTTGGAACTAGATCTTTTGGATTTATTTCAGCTAGTACTTTGACCTGCAGGTGAAAGTAATTATCATTCAAAACCACACATGTAAAAAATACTTGCATTTTGCCTGATTTTTAACTTTAATTAAATGATGACATTTTTTAATGAATCTGATTTATAACCCGTTGTTTTACACTAGAGATTTTTTCTTTTTTTTTTTAATGTAGGAGATCTAAACTTCACGGAAGCAGAAACTAGAAATTTGTTTTGATTCCCTTTGTCTAACTTTAAAATGAGTTTTGTAACAAACCTGTTAGTGTTGCAGCTGGTCTGCTCTGGCTTAGTTTTCAGAACTTGAACTATTGAAACAAATAAATTGCAGATCCATTTAAATGTTTTCATAGCTTCTTTCTGTTTAATTTAATAGTGATGAGGAAAAAATACTTTGAGATAAAAATACTGAAATGTTTACTGTAGCTCTATAGTCCTAATAAAACTCTTGACAGTATCAGTTTCATAAGCGTTTTTTACTAGTGAAATAACTACAGGAAAATGTAAAAAGTTGTGTGGTCAGTGTAGAGAGAACATTTTTGTAAAGAAGTTTGGGCTAGTTTGTTGGAAGTTATTACTGGAGCACTCCTACAGTTAATACCATGTTCCAGTGTTTAAAGGGTCAAGACAAGGCAAAGACGAGGGGTAGTGGGCACAAGTTACTCCTATTTGGACATGAGAGGAAAATTTTTTTGCAGTGAGAACAATCAGCTACTGAAATAATCTCCCCAGGGAAGTGGTGGATTCCCCAAAGTTGGACACTTGTAAGATTTGCCTGGACAGGATGCTGGGACATCTACTCTAGACCATGTTTGGTCCATAAAGGTTGGACCAAACGATTCTTGAGGTCCCTTCTAAGCTGGTATGCTATGATTCTGTGAACTATAGTGCCAATGTAGTTTGACGCTAGCAGGGGCTAGGGGGTTGTATGGAGGAGGGCCATGTGAGCAGGAGGAGAGCTAAGATTGCAAGTACAAGGTAGAATAAGAGAATAATTTCTGCATATAGAGAACACCCTCTCTCTATAATGAAAAGCCACTTCAGTACTGTTATAAAAATAGCTATTTATAATACTGACTATATATGGATGCTCTTGAAAACTGTTCACATATAAGCATTAGCTTTCTCTTAAACACAGAACACTCACCAGTACGAATTTGGAAAGAAAAAAACTAACTAGCGGTTTTACTAAATATTATTTAGGCTGTGGATAAAATGTGAGTTCTTATCTAGGAATATTTTCTTGAGCTTACATGCTTACTCTGAGCAGAGCATTAACAGTGTCATGAAACAGTAACGAGAGGGAGCAACCCCAAAAATATTTTGACATGGAGGATAAATGAAGTCATTGTGAACTGTGTGCTGCTCATGGGAAAAGGACAAAATTGGATTCTATTTGTCATAACTTCTATTTGAGATTTTTAAGGAATTTTAGCACTATTCATGAGCTAGACCTGCCAACTCTAGATTTTTATCTTTTACATCAGAACCTCAAGGCACAAGAATGATCAGTGACTTGCTATCACTAAAGAATGTATGTTACTAGTGAGGAATAGAGTTTATTTCCTGGTTCCATATTCTGTATTATAACTATAATGCTTTGGTATCTAAATGGAGATTTGTTTGTGAAGGTAATACCAGCTTTCTGCATGAAAAGAAGCAAGAATTAATTTCATAATATAAATTGAGCATTAAAACAATATATAAGTAAACTGAGGAAATTACTGTTCCAACATCGGCTCTCTTGATGAGTCTGTGCACCTTCATAATACATATGGATGAAGGAAAAATGTTAAACTTCTCAATGTTCACAACACTAATGTATTCAGCTTTTAAGAATAAGGGGTTTTATTTAGAATGTGATAATATATTTCTTTGTCACTGTATTAAATATGATATTTTTGCATACCAGAAATAATTGTGCTAAAAATCTTGAAAATGCATTGAAAGAACAAAATAAATTTAAAAGGATCTACTTGTCTTAAACTCTGTTGCTATAGAAATATTGAACACACACACACACACATATATATACATACACGCACGCATGCACACACTTTTTTCCTCCCTTCTCAGAGGCAACCAAGAGAATTTCATAGGAATAGGCTAGCCTTCAGAGAACTTCCAAGCCCATTCTTTTTAGGCAAAATAACTTCTGGAAAATAACGCATGGGCTCACAAGTTAAGAGTTCTGTTCTGCTTTTCTGCCAGTATGAAGGTTGATACTTAAGTTACATTTAGTTGCTGTGGAGTCAACATAATCCATTGCTGTGTCTTAAAATGAGGAAAATCTCTATGGAGTAAGTAGTTAATATATGTTATGACTTTCTATGGTACTTGTCAGTGATACTGAAATGTTTAGGTCTCCAGAATCTTTACTGGAGTCGAATTATTTTTTCTGCAATTACTGCAGAAGAGATGCTGGTGTGTTCCAGTTCAGCTTCAAATTTATATTCCTAATCCAGTGGTTAAACTTTCTAGTGTTGGAATTGTCTGTTAATGTCGTGAAAATTAATCCTTTATTCTATTATTTTGATTATTAGGATAACATAATGTAACACTTGTTTTGGAAAAAGAAGATAATCTTGTTGGGGGTGGCATTCATGACAAATACATGCCTGGCAAGATTTCAAAAAAAGGTGGGGGAGGAAACCCCCA